ATGTATGAAGTCGTAGCCAAGCATGTATGAAGTCGTAGCCAATCATGTAGGAAGTCGTAGCCAATCATGTAGGAAGTCGTAGCCAAGCATGTATGAAGTCGTAGCCAATCATGTATGAAGTCGTAGCCAATCATGTATGAAGTCGTAGCCAAGCATGTATGAAGTCGTAGCCAATCATGTATGAAGTCGTAGCCAATCATGTATGAAGTCGTAGCCAATCATGTATGAAGTCGTAGCCAAGCATGTATGAAGTCGTAGCCAATCATGTATGAAGTCGTAGCCAAGCATGTATGAAGTCGTAGCCAAGCATTTATGAAGTCGTAGCCAATCATGTATGAAGTCATAAAACTTTAGAAAGTCAGAGGAAGTTTGTAGACAGTAAACGAGGCTCAGCTGTGCTGCTGTAGAAATGAAAATCCCGCCACGCTCAGACTGGCCATGCTGGAACTTGTAGTTCTACAGCAGCAGAGTCCGCTTACTGTTGCGTAGTATATTATTGTGTCATGTGATTTAAATGTCTCCCGTGTCATATGACAGTTGTACGAGTGTGTGCACGAGTGCGATGACGTCATCGGAATTCCCGCATTCCTTGGCCCCTCCCCCCAGGCTTTGCTCCTTATATTTAGAACTTATAATATAATATTACTAATACTAATATTTCCTATGATGTCATCAATGGCGATCGGCTTTATCTGATGCGATACACTTTGTATAGTAAGTATTATAGAGCTCCATAGTGTCCATTCTGGTGTATAATATATATTGCACAATACAGGGGATTTCCACCTCCATGGTCACATGGGCTCCCCCCCCCCCCCGCCATCTATACTTCATCATTACATCCCTGCTGCAGCTGACTGGAATCAGTTCTCCTCCTCCTGCACCCCAATAATCACCAATCCCAGGATGATCCCCCTCATATTCCTGTTCACACTGGTGCTGAGAGCCAGCTGGACCTCAGGTGAGAATTGTACAGTAAATCCCATTAACTGCAATCTTTATATAGTATGTTCTATAGACGGCTGTAGAGGAACTCCAAGTCCCAGAATTATTCAAAACTCTTTCCATAGTTTTTATATTTTAGTGTATTATTTGGGTGGAGGTTGGAATGTTCACCGATCCCTCTCCGGGTCTGTAAGGGTATAAATTCGGGGCAATCAGGGTCACATCAGTACAACGTGAGGACGTCATTTTGTTTTTGTTTTTAGTTGGCCCATTCAGTTTCTTTCTGACACTTTCTGTTTCCCTATTGAGTCACTTGACGTGAGTGTGGGAAGATTTAGTCATTTCAGTTTGTGATGAAGTCATTGCAGGTCAGGACATGGACGTAGAGTAGTGGGGTCCCTGCTGTATACGTTGGGGGTATGGGGAAATGGGATTCCTGGTGACTACAGGAGAAAATTCAGGAACTGAAGTCTGGAGGAAAGAAAAGAAAGGAGACACATGGTTGATACCTTTTAATATATCAGGAATAAGGTTCGGTAGGGCAGGATTTTCAATATGAAGCCAAGATCAAGAACACGACCTCAAACTAGCAGGAGGAAAGTTCAAAACTAATCTTAGAGCGTATTATTTTACAGAAAGAGTAGTTGGTGCTTGGAATGGACTTCCAGCAGAGACACAAACAAATCCTAACAAAATACAAAACAAAAACCCCCTTTATAAATTCAAAAAATAAATGTAGGGCAGACTCAGCAGACCACGTGGTCTTTTTTCTGCCATTGCTCTTCTATGTTTTATATATAAATACACTAATGCAGAAGGTTCTAAGAAATGAGAAGGGCTGTATGGAGTCTTGGGGGGGGGGGGGGGGGTCTGTAGAATGGAAGGCTTTTAGAGAATAGAGAGTTTCATAGAGTACAGAAGGGTTGTAGGTAGTGAGAAGGGCTGTATGGAGTCTTGGGGGGGGGGGGGGGGTTCTGTAGAACGGAGGGCTTTTAGATAATAGAGAGTTTCATAGAGTACAGAAGGGTTGTAGGTAGTGAGGTGAGAAGGGCTGTATGGAGTCTTGGGGGGTTCTGTAGAACGGAGGGCTTTTAGATAATAGAGTTTTTCGTAGAGCACAGAAGGGTTGTAGATAGTGAGGGGCAGGGGCGGACTGATCATTTGGAAACTCGGTCACTGCCCGAGGGCCCGGGGTCAGTAGGGGGCCCCATGAGATGCCCCTGGTACCTTTTTCATAGGCTTTTTTGAGTTTGGGCAAGGACACAGGGGCCCCATGATCCCCTATTGCCCGGGAGCCCCATAAGTTGTCAGTCCGCCCCTGGTGAGGGGGCTGTATGGAGTCTTGGGGGGTTCTGTAGAATGGAAGGCTTTTAGATAAGAGAGTTTCGTAGAGCACAGAATGGTTGTAGGTAGTGAGGGGGCTGTATGGAGTCTAGGGGGGGTTCTGTAGAATGGAGGGCTTTTAGCTAATAGAGATAGTTCCTTAGAGCACAGAAGGGTTGTAGGTAGTGAGGGGGCTATATGGAGCCTGGGAAGGTTGGCCGGTAGAATGCGGGGGTTCTAGATAATAATATTAATGGCTCTTTGTGGAGCAATGAAGTGTCTTCAGATGGGTTTACAGTTGGTGGCCTTACCTCATGGTGAGCTTTATGGCTATCTACACCAGAACACGTAGCTAAGCCTCCACTCTGTTTTGTGACACTTCCAAACCATTGTGGTCTGCTGGCAGACTGACTAACACTGCTATGGCCCCCTGCTTAGAAGGTGCTAGAGATCTAGAGAACAGAACCTGCCTGACTGAAAGCTGCCCCATTACATGGATAATGCTGTGGGCTAGAGCAGTGGTATCCAAACTGTGGCCCACGGGCCACATGCGGCCATTTGCTTACCTTTTTAAGCATCATTCCTTCCCACTAACACCAATGGTGAGGCACCATTCCGTCCCACTGACACCAGCAATGAGGCACCATTCCTTTCCACTGACACCAATGATGGGGCATTATTCCTCCCCACTGACATCAACGATGAGGCATTGACACCAATGATGGGGCACCATTCCTTCCACTGAAACAAACGATGAGGCACCATTCCTTCCACTGACACCAATGATGGGGCACCATTCCTTCCACTGACACCAACGATGGGGCACCATTCCTTCCACTGAAACCAATGATGAGGCACGATTCCTTCCCACTGATACCAATGATGGGTCACCATTCCTTCTACTGATACCAGTGATGGGGCACTATTCCTCCCACTGACACCAATGATGGGGCACTATTCCTCCCACTGACACCAATAATGGGGCACCATTCCTCCCACTGACACCAATGATGGGGCACGATTCCTTCCACTGACACCAATGATGGGGCACTATACCTTCCACGGTCCCCAGTGATGGGGCACCATTCCTTCCACTGATACAGATACAAATGATGGGACACTATTCCTCCTCCTACTGACCTCAGGTGCTATGTAATTTTCTTACTCCCTCTGACCACCAAGCCTGAAGCACTAGTTAATTCCATTGACACTGGACACAATCCGGTCCCCCTAAAGTCTGAAGGACAGTAATCTAGGCCTCTGTTAAGAAAGTTTGTAGACCCCTGGGCTAGAGACCAGCTGAAACATGGTCTGACTAAAATCCACTCTATCACTGGAAGAGTGATGTGGGCTAGAAGCCAGCTAGATTGTGGGCCTTACTAAAATCTGCCCCATTATTGAGGCACTGCTGTTGGCTAGAGGACAACTAGAATGTGGCTTGACTAAAATTCACCCAGTCATTGGGGCAGTGATGTGGGCTAGAGACCAGTTGTAATGTGATCTGCCCAATCTGTGCATTGTTCTGGGCTAGAGGGAGGCCAAAATATGGCCTGACTAAAACCCATGCTATCAATGGGGAACCACTATGGGCTAGAGGCCAACTGGAATGTGGACTGACTAAAATCCATCCTATACCTGGGGCACCACTGTAGGCATGAAGCGACCTGGAACATGGCCTGACTAAAATCTGCCCTATCCCTGGGGTACTGATGTAGGCTAGAGGCCAGTTGTAATGTGGCATGGTAAAATTCCTGAGACCAAGTAGATGGAAGAATAGGATTTTGGAGGGGGGAGTGCTGTAGCTATTCAGATATGCCATCTCTAAATGTGATGGGTAAAAAGCTGGATGATTCTTGAGGGCCATAAAGGACAATTTTTCTGTAAGATCCAGAGGCTGAGGATTGTATAGAACCCGAAAGAAGACCTGTTGTAGAGTCCTGGCCACATAGGCTAACCATGTTCAGTTGATCGCAAGATAGGTGGTTCGGGCTCTCCCACTCTCATCCCAATTTGTGGTGAAAAATATGGACAATTAGTATAGAAACAGGATTTGGACTCATCTTGACTCCAGCAATAAAAGTCCTGGGTAGATTGTGTCCAGCTGTTCCTTTGGTGTGAGGCCTCCTTGGGTGCCATTTTGTCCTCTTGACCATAATTTTATCAATTCCCTTCATAGCTTCACCAGCAACAACCAGTTAATGCCAATAAAGCATTAATAATCCAGAGTAGAAGTAAATCATTTTTAAGGGAGCCACCGGAGTTGGGGTGGCTGTAGTCATCCAGATGTTCCATTACGATGTGTTTTGGGTATAAAGCTGGTCGGTTCTTGAGGGTTACGAAGGATGCAGATGCCGAAAAAACACCATAAATCCATTAGAACAATTTTTCTATGAGATCCAGAGGCTGAGAATGGTATTGGGCTCCATAGAGGACCAGTTGTAGAATCCCTGATAGATGATGATGCTGGTGATCCATGGGGTAGGTTTGCTGCTCTGCTGTGAAGCAGAATTCAGGTTTTCTGTAGTCGTTTCTCTTCGTTTCCCAGAATGTTTGCTTTGTCTCAGGGACTTTCCAGCCTTGCTGTACTTCAACCTCTGCGAGGAACACGTCTTTGAACAGGAAGTCGCCAACACCCATCTGATCTCATCACATGACTGAGCCGTGTAATAGGATCTGAATATCAAGTATCCTTTCTGTAAGGCAGAAAGATTCCGACCCGAAATCCATGGAAAATGTGGAGCCTGTATCTGGTCACACTTCCTCCATGGGGTCAGTCCACCGACATTTCAGTTATAGACGTAGTCTGGTGGTGTCCTGTAATGTTTGATGAAGATGTAAATCCTGTCTGAATGATGTTAGTTTGCTAAAGCGCTGTGTATAATAAACTATTGTGTGACCTAAATGTAAGATTTGGGTAGTTGGGATGTTGGGATGTCGTGTGATCAGTAGAAATATGTCATTGTAGATCTAGTTTCATTCCGTGTTATCAATGATAAGTAGTATTCAGCAGTGGCGTCCCGAGGCAGGTGCGGGGGGTGCGCGCCACACTGGGTGGCACCTACTGTACGGGGTGACACCGGACCCGCTCCACGAAAAGGTAAGTTGTTAAGCAAGCTAATGATCCCCGCAGGATGGATCCGATCCATCCTGCAGGGATCGTCGGCTGTCTTTACAACTTACCATTTCATGGAGCGGGTCCGGTGTCAGCCCGTATAGGTTGCATGCCAATGATCCCCGCAGGATGGATCAGATCTGCGGATTGGGGAGCATAATGGATCGGAGTCCGATCCATTATGCTCAGTCTGCAGATCTGATCCATCCTGCGGGGATCGTCGGCTTTCTTTACAACTTACCTTTTCGTGGAGCGGGTCCGGTGTCACCCCCGTATAGGTTGCATGCTGATGATCCACGCAGGATGGATCGGATCTGCGGATTGGGGAGCATAATGGATCGGAGTCCGATCCATTATGCTCAGTCTGCAGATCTGATCCAACCTGCGGGGATCGTCGGCTTTCTTTACAACTTACCTTTTCGTGGAGCGGGTCCGGTGTCACCCCGTATAGGTTGCATGCCGACGATCCCCACAGGATGGATTGGATCTGCGGATTGGGGAGCATAATGGATTGGACTCTGATTCATTATGCTCAATCTGCAGATCCGATCCATCCTGTGGGGATCGTTGGAGGGGGTGTCACCAAGTGTTCTCGCACCGGGTGACACCAACCCTAGAGACGCCCCTGGTATTCAGTCAGAGACACATGTTCACCAATCAGCATCTGAAAGGCCAGAGCATCTTCTAGGCTAGAGGTGACACCTAGATGGCAATAAAATGTAGTCACCTATGTAGCCAGAGTTTGCCACTTTCTTGAACCTAAAAGAAGAATCCTAGTCAAATTAGCTACAAGAACCAGCAGGAGACCGATAAAAAAGGCTCCAAAAGGTCTGCCAGCTATGACTTATATCCACAGATCAGAGGAATCAATTTCATCTCTCATAAAAGCTAAAACATTATTTGCAGAGAGATGAAAATCCTTCCTTCTGATTGGACACTCTGTAGGCTACATCTGCATGTAAAAGTGTATTTGTAGCCTATGTAGAATCCCAGAGAAACACATAAAATGGTTTATATGGCACCTGATTGGGACAGCTGAGCAATGATTGGTACTGTTGCGATCAGACTGATGCGCTGGTGTCGGAAATCCTATCCCTGACTTGGTGATCTGAACCGTTTCTGGTTCAATCGAGATTGGGCACTTCAGAACACAGAACGTCCTGTGGGCTGGTACAGGAAACCCCCCCCCCCCCCAGGGTTGATTGACCAAAGTCTATAGTCCAGCCCACATGCATATTTCAATAAATTGAGGACCCTGGGATATGGAAGTTGTGATTCGTACAGAGCCAGTTCTATTTGACTGATGAATCGTGGACTTTCTCTGGCTTGCTCCAGTTGCAGGATAAATCTTGGTAAAAGTTTTATTTCAGTTTTTATTTCCTTTTTATTTCATAGTGAAAAGCTAATTGTGTCTTTTTGTCTTTTTTGTATTTTCTGTAACTCATATTTTATGCTCCGCCCACTTTCAAGAGTATAAATCATAAATTTAATAAGTGACTTCTGTGTACTAAGCTCGGGTTCATATCTCCGGCGAGATTGTTGTATTGCAGTGTCTATGTGCTCGGTCCAAGTTCATTGCCTATCTGTATGCAATTGCACTGCGTGTTGGCAGATTGCATGCAGATTGTAAAGTAGTAGATCTGCCAGACGGAGATCTGTGTGTGTGTGTGGTGGCCCAACAGACCAGTCTGCGGACAAACTGTTGGGTGGTGGCAAGCTACCGTTTGTGGTGTGTCTGGTGTGTGGACGGTGGAAGAGTGATTAACACCGGGGTTCTAGCTTGTAGGATAGCTGGAGGAATCCTAGAAGGGTGTGCCAATTGCTAGGCTGCTCCCCAACCCTTGTATGTAAGATTCGTATCTGCCTGTGTGTGGTCAGCCAGCTCCCTCTAGTGGTGGTCAGAGGTAGTGCGGGCTGTGAAAGTGTATCAAGACCAGTCTTATATGCTCAAAGTCCCCCTCATTCCCTCTTTACCCCAGTCATGGACGGACCACGGCTCGGTTAGCTAGTCGCTGTGGGCGTGCGTTTTGATTCGTGACATATTGACTTTTATAATAATATACTGTCACATTTGTTCCTTTTTTTGTTGTATCATACAACTGCTGTTCTCTAGCAGCCTCTCCTGTCTGCATGCACTCCAGAGATGGACACGTGGCATTTCTCAGGGCGGTTTGCCTGATGGTGACAACAGTGGATAACGCTTGAGTAACGTGTCTCAGTTGGAGAGATTTACTAAAGCTGGTTCACTGGTGCAGCTGTGCATGGTAGCCAATCAGCTTCTAACCTCAGCTTGTTCAATTGAGCTTTAGGAATAAATCCTGGAAGCGAACCAGAATAGTAAATAAACCCTTGTGGTCTCCATCGGAAGCTCATGTGATATGGTGACAATGCAGGAGCACACTCAGGAGGCAGGGACAGCATGTTGTCTCCTTATAACAGGAAGTACCCGAACAAGGACCTATATGGCAGAATCGCCAGGGATCATTTTAATGAACGCTTTGAATGCAAAAGATTAAAAATGAGTTGTTAAATGATGCTAACTTGTTAAAGTGATATTAAAGGTAGATTTCATGCTATGCTTGCCTGCTGTGGTGCAATTGTCCTTCTCTTCGTGGGTCCCCCACTGGCGTTCCTGGCCCCTCCCTCCTGCTCAATCCTCCTCCATTGCAAGCAGCTCTCTCTGGGGGCACCTGAGCAAAATCGCTCCAGAGCTGCTGCTCTGTGTGTCGATTTGCACCAAACACAGCTCGGCCCAACCCCTGATCTCTCCTCATTGGCTCACTGGCTGTGATTGACAGTAGCAGGAGCCAAAGGCTCCCGCTGCTATCTTAGCCAATGAGAATGAAGAGACCTGGGAAAAGCCGCTGCCCTCGTGCACATCGCTGGATTGAGGGGGGCTTAGGTAAATGCTGGGTGGGGGGCTGTTGCAATCATAAGGTTTTGTACCTACTTGCTTGGAATGCATGAAGGTAAAAAAACCTTCAGCCTTTACAACCATTTTAAGGAAAGTTCTTGTGATTAGGTTCACATATTTTTTAAACGCAGTGAGAGCTATTTGGCCACCCAGTCCACAGAACTCTGGCCGGTGGCCTGCTATCTTGTGTCAGCTTCCTGGGGGTTCAGACTTATCTCAATTCCGAATTTATTGACAGGTATATTTGGCTTCACTGGACCTCCTTGCAGGTCAACCTGAATATCACCTCCTTCATAGACTTGTATGGGATTTCACAACCCTATGACAATACTCAACAGAGGTCCTTTTATCTGTTTATTTTTGCAGGGATTGAAGGTATTGAGACTCGTCATCTATATGCAGCAGTCGGCTCATCTGTATTCTTTCCCGGGGAGAAGATTGATAATTTCACATTTTATGACTTTAGAAAAGGGTCACTGCTCATAGTGACATGTCATCATGGGTGCAGTGTACGGGATCCGTACAACAAGCGTGGTGACTTCTTCCAACATAATGGAACATTTCTACTGAATGAGCTAAGAGTGGAGGACAGCGGGATCTTTGAATACGAAATGAATTTCACGATGAAGAGACAGATCCATCTCCATGTGATGGGTGAGTGTGGTATCTGAGTCATGACATATGGGGGGTGGTTGGCAAGGGACAAAAATAGGAGCCAAAGAACTCCAATCCGGGACTGGTACTGTAGAAGGTGCTCTCTTTTGGGTGCCTTGATTTTAATGAAGGACAACTGGATCCTATAGTCTACCTTCAGTCTCCACACCACCCCCAGACTTTCTCCCCCTTCTTCCCCTGTAGGCCCCCCAATGTGTTATTTGTTTTAATACCTTTTCTATAGCCTTCAGGCAAGTCATGGGTCCCCCTCCACTTGCCCTCTTCTCCAGGGTAGGCAACCTAATGGATGCAGGGGTGACCTTGGCACCACTCTCTGCACCAGTACAATGTAAATGAAGGGCATAGTGGTGACATCTCTTCAGCAAGCATACCCACTATGCCCTGATTTTACAGTAGAACCCTTAGTCTTCTAAATGAAGTGCCTCTGGGTGCCATTTAACCCCAAGGACCAAAGACTAAGATCTAATGGAGAAGCAGTACGGCAAGGGATGTCTCCAGGCTGTAGGCGAGTAGTCTGAGCTGCTTTTCATGTTCCTATCACAGACTATAGATGCACATATCTGAAGCAGCTCTACTTGTGCCTGACCTTCTGCTTTGCCCAAATGCCAGTCGTTCTGGATGGGCAAAGATCAAACCCTTCCCGGTAGTGATGGACCATCACCAACCCCTTCCACCTTCACCAACTCCTACTGGCCCAGCATTTTAATGGGCTGTATTACTAGCCTATAGGAATTTTTGGAATGTCAGAGGGGACATGCAAAGCCCCATCACTATTAGTTCATGACCACTGGCCTTTGGACAAAGCTGGCACATGGAGTATACTGCAAGTATGTTGGTAGATAGGATTATGATACCAGTACATAGAGACATGAGGAGTAATCTGCAGGTATGTAAGATATATAGGGAATATCGTATACGTACCTATAAGTAGGCAGGGTTATGCAGTAAGTAGGTAAATAAGGATTATCCTGTAGTAATGTAGGTAGTAGAAGTACTCTGTAGTTGTTGGTGGGAGGCACCTGTCTACGTCACAGCTCCCTGCCACAGATCTTCTTTGAAGAGCATTATATGAAAGAACAAATCCCCAGCATCCATTTAGCTTTTCAGGCTCCTCCCTGTTGCCCACTGGGTTCTGCATTACTGTGCAATCTGCTGATCAGGCGGTTGAGCATGCACATCTATAGGGATCCCATGGATGTGTTCTTTTATATAATTCTTGATTGATGGCAGAGATAGATAATATTTCTGAGAGGTGGACAGTGACTGTATGGATCAGGAGGAAAGGAGAATGATGACTGAAGTCATGTTCTAAATTGACTGAAGGCAGTCTGAAGTCTAGTTTACTGCAGCTTCAAATGGTTTTTATTGTAGAGATGCAAGATTGCAGGGCAATGGGAGTAATTCATTTCAACACAGGATACATTCGACAAGTGTGGGGAAAAAAGTAAGTCTTGTGTTCTGTTAATAAGGAGTATTCTGTAGGTAGGTAGGATTACGCTGCAGGTATGTAGGTAGATAAGAAGTATACTACAGGTATGTGGATAGGTAGGTGGGATTACACAGCCAGTATGTAGGTAGATAAAGAGTATCCAGTAGGTAGGTAGATAAGACGTATCCTGTAGGTAGGTAGATAAGAAGTATCCTGCAGGTATGTAGGTAGATAAAGAGTATCCTGTAGGTAGGTAGATAAGAAGTATCCTGTAGGTACTGTATGTAGGTAGAAGAAGTATGCTACAGGTATGTAGGTAGTTAAGGAGCATCCTGCAGGTATTGTAGGTAGTATGCGTATGCTGCAGGTATGTATGTATATAAGAATTATCCTACACATATGTAGATAGCTGGGACTGCTGCAGGTATGTAGGTAGATAAAGATTATCCTGTAGGTAGGTAGATAAGAAGTATCCTGTAGGTACTGTATGTAGGTAGAAGTATGCTACAGGTATGTATGTAGATAAGAAGTATACTACAGGTATGTGGATAGGTAAGTGGGATTACAGAGCCAGTATGTAGGTAGATAAAGAGTATCCAGTAGGTAGGTAGATAAGAAATATCCTGTAGGTAGAAGAAGTATGCTGCAGGTATGTAGGTAGATATGAAATAATCTGCAGGCATGTAGCTAGGTAGGTGCACATTGCAGGTTTGTAGGCATATAAGAAGTTTCCATGCAGGTATGTATGTAGATAAGAAGTACTGTATATTGCAGATATGTTGGTAGTCATGGAGGTGGGTAGGAGAACGCTGCAAGTATGCAGATGGATAGGGAGTATTGGACGAAACGTGGAAGAGCAATGTAGGTAGTAGTAGGCAGAAGCATGTAGTTATGTATAGGTAGTAGTTAGGAGAGTGCTGCAAGTATGTAGGTAAATAGGAAGTATCCTGAAGGTGGGGGTAGTAGAATAATGCGGCAGGTATGTAGTAGGCAGAGGAACACTGCAGGGATGCAGGTAGGTGGAAGAAAGTAGCAGTATGGAGGTAGATTGGAGAAACGTGCAGAACTGTAGGTAGGTGGCAGAAAGTTGTAGGTATGTAAATAGGTGAAGGGACGCTGCAGGATTATAGGTAGGTGGGAGAAAGTTAGATATTGTAGGTAGATTGGAGAACGTTGTAGGTATGTAGGTAGGTGGGAGAAAGTTGCAGGTATATAGATAGATTGGAGGAAGTAGCAGGTATGTAGGTAGGTGGTAGAACGTTGCAGGTATGTAGGTAGATTGGGGAAAGTTGCAGGTATGTAGATAGGTGGTAGAAAGTTGCAGGTATGTAGGTAGATTTGGGAAAGTTGCAGATAGGTAGGTGGCAGAAAGTTGCAAGTATGTAGGTAGATCAAAGAAAGTTGCAGGTAGGTAGGTTGGTAGGTGGCAGAAAGTTGCAGGTATGTAGGTAAATTGAAGAAAGTTGCAGGTATGTAGGTAGGTCAGAGAAAGTTGCAGGTATGTAGGTAGGTCAGAGCAAGTTGTAGGTAGATTGGAGAAAGTTGCAGGAATGTAGGTAGGTGGGAGAAAGTTGCAGGAATGTAGGTAGGTGGGAGAAAGTTGCAGGAATGTAAGTAGGTGAATTGATGCTGCAGGTAGGTAGGTTGGTAGGTGGGAGAAAGTTACAGATATGTAGGTAGATTGTAGAAGGTTGCAGGTATGTAGGTAGGTGGTAGAAAGTTGCAGGTATGTAGGTAGAGTGGAGATGGTGGCAGGTATGTAGGTAGGTGGCAGGAAGTTGCAGGTTCCAACTTTTCAGGCAGGGAACGTTCAGCTCGGGCTCCAGGCAGGGAACGTTCAGCTCGGGCTCCAGGCAGGGAACGTTCAGCTCGGGCTCCAGGCAGGGAACGTTCAGCTCGGGCTCCAGGCAGGGAACGTTCAGCTCGGGCTCCAGGCAGGGAACGTTCAGCTCGGGCTCCAGGCAGGGAACGTTCAGCTCGGGCTCCAGGCAGGGAACGTTCAGCTCGGGCTCCAGGCTGGGAACGTTCAGCTCGGGCTCCAGGCTGGGAACGTTCAGCTCGGGCTCCAGGCTGGGAACGTTCAGCTCGGGCTCCAGGCTGGGAACGTTCAGCTCGGGCTCCAGGCAGGGAACGTTCAGCTCGGGCTCCAGGCAGGGAACGTTCAGCTCGGGCTCCAGGCAGGGAACGTTCAGCTCGGGCTCCAGGCAGGGAACGTTCAGCTCGGGCAGGCAGGGAACGTTCAGCTCGGGCTCCAGGCAGGGAACGTTCAGCTCGGGCTCCAGGCAGGGAACGTTCAGCTCGGGCTCCAGGCAGGGAACGTTCAGCTCGGGCTCCAGGCAGGGAACGTTCAGCTCGGGCTCTAGGCTGGGAACGTTCAGCTCGGGCTCTAGGCTGGGAACGTTCAGCTCGGGCTCTAGGCTGGGAACGTTCAGCTCGGGCTCTAGGCTGGGAACGTTCAGCTCGGGCTCTAGGCTGGGAACGTTCAGCTCGGGCTCTAGGCTGGGAACGTTCAGCTCGGGGGCTGGGAACGTTCAGCTCGGGCTCCAGACTGGGAACGTTCAGCTCGGGCTCTTGGCTGGGAACGTTCAGCTCGGGCTCTTGGCTGGGAACGTTCAGCTCGGGCTCCAGGCAGGGAATGTTCCTGGGACTTGCCGGTAATAAGATTTGTGTTTTTGTTCTCTGCAGCTCCGGTGATGGAACCGGTCTTGTTGTTGAAGGAAAATAGAAGCCATTGTCTGGTCATCTTCACATGCCGAGCGGAGGGAGGCGGTCCATTGAACTTCACATTTATGAGGAATGACAATGAGATAGTAGAGAACGCCGTCAGCCTAGACAACTCCATCTCTCTGTCTATGGATGGCAGCGATCCAAAAACATCCGGAAGATTCTCCTGTATTGTGAGAAATATGATCAGCTCCCAGACATCTCCAGCTGTAGAACTGCTGCCTCCAGGTAAATGATTCCTACTGTAAGATAGAAACTGGCTGCTTACTTCAGCACAGGCCCTAAAGTGTAGTTTACACCTATAATACCTTCCCTTGTCCCCCCCCCCCCCCCCTCCCCTTCATCAACAGGCAATTACAATTCTTCTGTCAAATCATTTTGTTTTTAAGAAATACCTCTTTTGAGGCCAAAAGAGGTAATCACTATGTCTGTCTGCCACTCTTTGCTCTAAGTTTGGTGGGAGGGACCCATAAAAAAACACATTCCCAGCATCCATGCAGGCTCCTTCCTGCTGGCTACTGGGTGCTGCAGACTTTACATGTGCAATCTGCTGATCAGTTGGTTGACCATGCACAGAGTTGTACTGTGCAGATGTAAGTTTGCAAGGAATTAGGAGTAATCAGTTCCAGCACAGGAGAGGAAATACTACATGGCTCAGACAAATGAAAGGAAGACTTTGTAATCCGAGTCTGGCATCAAGTCCATGACACTCCTGGGATATGGATCTGGTCAGGTAAGTAGCAGAGGGGGGTGGTAATAAGTTTCAGCTGGTTTGGTGTTCATGAAATTAACAACAGGTGCACTAGATGGGCAACAATGAGACAACCCCCAAAACAGGAATGGTGTTAGGGATCCGGGTATGACCAGAAATGTGTGGACTGACACAGGGAAACGCAGACTTCAGGTATAGTAAACAATATAATTTATTAAAGGTACAACAAATACAAACGCACAATATAACAAAACCAACTGAGAACAGAATGTACACAGACAAGGGCAGTCAGGGCTGATGAGGTGGAGTGGTCAGGCAGGCCGAGCCCACAGCACGGATTTCCTCAGGGCGCGGGGTCTAAGTCCCAGCCTGCTGTTCACCAGGGCCCCTGATGGTGGGGATGGACTTAGTGCAGACTGGAACCAGGTCGTGTTGACCCCTGAGTGCGTCCGGCTGTGGTAGAGAGTACTGGCAGGGGAGTGCGGGAACGGAGTCTGATGGGAAGAGGCAGGCAGACTTACTGAAGTGATCCGTGCGGGATGGATGGATGGTCGGGTTTAGTGAGTGTAGTCAGGCAGGCCGGGTCGATATCGTGCGGGCAGCAAGGTACAAGGAGCAGGCGGAAGCGTAGTCAGGAATAGCCGAGGTCAGGACAGGCAGAGTTCATGCAGAATCAGGATCAGGCAGCAGCAGACAGGATGCAGGTACAGGGGCTCATGGGAAACAAACACCAAGGCCCTGAACACACTAGTGTGAATGTCTCTGACCAAACAATCAGAAACAGACTTCATGAGGGTGGCCTGAGGGCCCGACATCCTCTAGTTGGCCCTGTGCTCACCATAGAGCTGGATTGGCATTGGCCATTGAACCCCAGAATTGGCAGGTCCACCACTGGCGCCCTGTGCTTTTCACAGAGGAGAGCAGGTTCCCCCTCACAGATGAGAGCAGGTTCCCCCTGAGCACATGTGACAGACGTGAAAGGGTCTGGAGAAGCCGTGGAGAACGTTCTGCTGCCTGTAACATGGTTCGGCATGACCGTTGTGGTGGTGGGTCAGTGATGGTCTGGGGGGGGCATATCCATGGAGGGACACAGAGACCTCTACAGGCTAGACCAGGGGTGGGCAACTGTGGCCCTCCAGCTGTTGTAGAACTACAAGTCCCATGAGGCATTGCAAAACTGACAGTTACAAGCATGACTCCCAAAGGCAGAGGCATGATGGGACTTGTAGTTCATCAACAGCTGGAGGGCCACAGTTGCCCACCCCTGGGCTAGACAATGGCACCCTGACTGCCATTAGGTATTGTAACGGAACCGAACCCATACTGTGCTTGGGTATTTCTGTTAGAATACCGCTTCCCCGTCTGAACACCGACAACAGACACCACCGCTGACCATACAAGACTAGATGACACCAGTCTTGAAGTAAACCAGGAGGTAGACTACTTTATCTGAACACAGATACAAGATATATACACTCAGGGGACAACCCCCCCCCCTGCATAATGACACAGGGCGGGGCAATCTACATTTAGTAACAAAGAGACACACCAACAGACAGTCCCATCAGGAGGGAGGGCTGCTGGTGACACCCCCCACTAAGCTAATACACACAAACACATACATCCCATAATAGTTTGCTCCCAAGCAAGACACACAATAGAACAATGGGATGCAACCGCATGGCATTAAACAATGAACAACCCCCCACCCCAATATTAGGACAGATCACCCTGTACCCCTAACAGGCACAGGGTGACTTACACATAAGAGGGCTATGGGGAGCTGAGACAGGGGTCTCCCCACCTCTCCAAATTGAGCTGTGTTCCATGGGCCCCCAACTCAAAGTGACTCCCGTCACAGGTATTGGGATGAAATCCTTGGACCCATTGTCAGACCTTATGCTGGTGCGGTGGGTCTTGGGTTCCTCCTGGTGCGGTGGGTCTTGGGTTCCTCCTGGTGCGGTGGGTCTTGGGTTCCTCCTGGTGCGGTGGGTCCTGGGTTCCTCCTGGTGCGGTGGGTCCTGGGTTCCTCATGGTGCGGTGGGTCCTGGGTTCCTCCTGGTGCAGACAATGCCCGGCCTCATGTGGGGAGAGTACGCAGGCAGTTCTTGGAGGATGAAGGAATTGATACCATTGAGTGGCCCCCACACTCGCCTGACCTAAATCCAATAGAACCCCTCTGGGATGTCATGTTTCGGTCCATCCGACGCCCTCAGGTTGCACCTCAGACTGTCCAGGAGCTCAGTGATACCCTGGTCCAGATCTGGGAGGAAATACCCCAGGACACCATCCGTGGTCTCATTAGGAGCCTCCCCCGACGTTGTCAGGCATGCATACAAGCACGTGGGGGCCACACAGACTACTGAGGACCATTCTGAGTTGCTGCAATGACATCTCAGCACAATGGACTCGCCTGCTGCATCATTTCTTCACTTTGATTTTCGGGGTGTCTGTGAATTCAGTCCTCTGTAGGTCGATCATTTCCATCCAACGATGGGGCGTCCTTACGTTCCTCACCCATCCCCCGTCCATGTCAGTATAGAGATCCAGCAGGAGATTCCTCCCCATTGGGTGATGGGTTGTCAGAGTCTTCCTTTCATGTTTGTGAGCCGTGTAGAAGCAAGGCAGGGCTGCAGTATACAGACGGGTCTGTCTTCTATGGAAGGCTACAGAGCACCAATGATGGACAAACTCCTCTAAAATATGAATTATAAAGTCTTTGTAGTCATTTTTGTTTGTTATATAAATGTTGTTTCGATATATAAAATTGTTGTTTTACAAATGAACATTTAATTCAGGGCATGTCCATAGCCAGGGCTGCTGTTTGAAACCACAGGGCCCCATACAGACAACCTGGGAAGGCCCCCTAAAGAAAACACAGTTTACTTTTGCTTAAGTTACGAATGAACACAGTGAGTACTGGGTACTGATCACTCATTGGTTCATTCAGGAAAGGAAGGGGCTGACAAATGTGAAATATTTACCGGACCCTTCCCCCGCTCTCCATCCTGAAGGATCATATTGTGTGCTTGCAGCTGCCAATGGGAGAGGAGAGAAGCCGGCAGCACTGTGGGGGTGGGGCACACAGGGAATTGTATGGTGCACAGGGAGGGAGTGTATGATGGGGGGGGGGCAATTACTGGAACCGATCCCAGTATGACTTTCTCTGCAGCAGCTGAAAGCCGACAGGAGGGAGAGGAGAAGAACCCAGGGGAGTGGTTCAAGTAATTGCCCCCTTCCCCCACAGTGCCGATCACCCTCCCTGCCCACATCCAATTCACCCAGCTGCCTGGGCCCCCCTTCTGGCCTGGGCCCCGTACAGGAGGACAGGCGGTAGCCCCTTAGCCACAGCCCTTTCCATAGCACTGGTGTCACAGCAGGAAAGTAAACATGCAGATGATACCCTTCATTGGCTAACTGGATATCGTCTAAAGTTGCTCTCTTGGCATGACCCCCTCCATCCGCCCTTTGCCCCCGCCATGCACCAAACTGCTGCTGGGGCCCCCATCCAGGGTGTGATAGAGCTGGCAACGTACTTTTATCCAATGTTGATGAGGGTAAGGGCCTCTTCCCTGCGACCCCAACTCGGTGCTTGTGGGGATCTGTGAGCGGGGAATGAGAATCTAAAAACCTCTCTTTAAAAAATAAGGGGTATATCGGCCCATCATTGGTATTACTGGGGGGCTACAATTTGGAGACCCCTGGATCTGATCTTCTCAAAATAATTGCCAAATAAATGGTTGTACGTGGTATTCTGTTTTCTAAAAAATTGTAAAAAGGTGTAGTTTTGACCTGTGTTAATCTGTCCTTTGGAGTATACACTCACCGGCCACTTTATTAGGTCCACCTTGCTAGTGCCAAGAAAAAATCTTCCCCACACCATGACACCACCAGCCTGAATTGTTGATACAAGGCAGGATGGATCCCCCACACCATGACACCACCACCACCAGCCTGAACCGTTGATACAAGGCAGGATGGATCCCCCACACCATGACACCTCCACCACCAGCCTGAACCATTGATACAAGGCAGGATGGATCCCCCACACCATGACACCTCCACCACCAGCCTGAACCATTGATACAAGGCAGGATGGATCCCCCACATCATGACCCCATCACCACCAGCCTGAACCATTGATACAAGGCTGGATGGATCCACCACACCATGACACCACCACCCTGAACCGCTGATACAAGGCAGGATGGATCCCCCACACCATGACACCACCACCACCACCAGCCTGAACCATTGATACAAGGCAGGATGAATCCACCGCACCATGACACCACCACCCTGAACCGTTGATACAAGGCTGGATGGATCCACCACACCATGACACCACCAGCCTGAACCATTGATACAAGGCAGGATGGATCCACCACACCATGACACCACCAGCCTGCACTGTTGACACAAGGCAGGATGGATCCACCACACCATGAGACCACCATCACCATCCTGAACCGTTGATATAAGGCTGGATGGATCACCCACACCATGACACCACCACCAGCCTGAACCGGTGACACAAGGCAGGATGGATCCAACACACCATGACTCCACCACCACCAGCCTGAACCGTTGATACAAGGCTGGATGGATCCACCACACCATGACACCACCACCATCAGCCTGAACCGGTGACACAATGCTCGATGGATCCCCCACACCATGACACCACCACCACCAGCCTGAACCGTTGCTACAAGGCTGGATGGATCCCCCACACCATGACACCACCACCACCAGCCTGAACCGTTGCTACAAGGCTGGATGGATCCATGCTTTCATGTTGTTTACACCAAATTCTAACCCTACCATCTGAATGTCGCAGCAACCAGTCTGCCCATTCTCCTCTGACCTCTGACATCAACAAAGCATTTTCCTCCACACAACTGCCGCTCACTGGGTATTTTCTCTTTTTCGGACCATTCTCTGTAAACCCCAGAGATGGTTGTGCGGGAAATCCCAGGAGATCAGCAGTTTTTGAAATACTCAGACCAGCCCGCCTGGCACCAACAACCATGCCACATTCAAAGTCACTTTCTTCCCCATTCCCATGATCAGTTTGAATTTCAGCAAGTGGTCTCCACCAGGTCCAGATGCCTAAATGCATTAGGTTGCTGCCATGTGATTTGTGTTACCGAGCAATTGGACAGGTGGGCCTAATAAAGTGGCCGGTGAGAGTAAAGCCCCACTGAGTCTTTGCTTTTGTTGTGTTCCTCTGTAGTGACCCTGAAGTTGAGGATTATGAGGCTCTTTGTGATCGGTTTCCTGTGTCACTGGATCTCCGCCGTGTGCATCCTATGTATGAAATACATCTGCAAGAAGTGGAGGAAAGAGAATCAGGAAGAGGAGGAAATTATCGATGGACCAAAGACTCTACAGAGCCAAGCTGACCAACATAAAGGTCCCCGATACCGAGACACAGGTAACAGCGACTCACATGTCATCTGCTGCCCGTCTGGGTGGAGGTGCCCAAATCACACCCCTTCTACAGGTTGGTTCCATGCAAGCCCTGCCTCTAAGTATGTAGGGGCCACACATTCGGGACCCTGATCCATACGATTTATGCTTTCTGATTGACTGTGAATGAACAGTATATGTCAGAGCTATATAAATGTATAATAATAATATTGCGTGACTGTGGGGGAGGGGACATTAGAGTGTAAGCTCCTCTGGTGCAGAGACTGATGTGACTGGTTCAGTGATCTCTGTACAGCGCTGTGGTATATGCCAGAGCTATATAAATGTATAATAATAATAGTGTGTGACTGTGGGGGAGGGGACATTAGAGTGTAAGCTCCTCTGGTACAGAGACTGATGGGACTGTGGGGGAGGGGACATTAGAGCGTAAGCCCCTCTGGTACAGAGACTGATGTGACTGTGGGGGAGGGGACATTAGAGTGTCAGCTCCTCTGGTACAGAGACTGATGTGACTGTGGGGGAGGGGACATTAGAGCGTAAGCCCCTCTGGTACAGAGACTGATGGGACTGTGGGGGAAGGGACATTAGAGTGTAAGCTCCTCTGGTACAGAGACTGATGGGACTTTGGGGGAGGGGATGCTAGAGTGTAAGCTCCTCTGGTACAGAGACTGATGGGACTGTGGGGGAGGGGGAGAGGGACATTATGGGAGAGGGGACATTAAGTGTTCTCCTCTGGTACAGAGACTGATGGGACTTTGGGGAGGGGACATTAGAGTGTAAGCTCCTCTGGTACAGAGACTGATGTGACTGTGAGGGAGGGGACAGTAGAGCGTAAGCTCCTCTGGTACAGAGACTGATGTGACTGTGGGGGAGGGGACATTAGAGTGTAAGCTCCTCTGGTACAGAGACTGATGTGACTGGCTCAGTGATCTCTGTACAGCGCTGCGGTATATGTCAGAGTATGCACTGTAAATGTATAATAATATTGTGATCCGGAATATATTTCTTCAGATCAGATGTTGCATTTCATTAAAGCTCATTCTCACTCTCTCTGTGTTCTAGTGAACAAGGACAGGACTCTCAGCCTTGTCAGCAGAACCTTCAGTATTGTGGACCGTCTTCTCGGGTTCTTGAAGGAACTTGCTGTGCTGGTCATCTGTGTGGATGGTAAGGAACATTCGTCTGTCACAGCCTTGCAATGGCTCCAGGGAGAGTCAGAACATTTCTGCTCCGTCATGTGAGGTCAGTGCAAGGATCTTCCTTCATAGAGACGTCGGAGATACATGTGTATCCTGAAAGATCGGTCCTGTGCAGCATTGTACTTCCTATACCTGTATTACCTGTGTCACCGTCCTTCTGCATCTGCACCATGGTAGCCACTTCATTATATACTGTATATACACGGCTCCAAAAAATTAAAGGAAGACTCTGAGAACCCATCAGACCTCAATGGGGAGGAATCTCCTGCTGGATCTCTATACTGACATGGACGGGGGGATGGGTGAGGAACGTAAGGACGCCCCATCGTTGGATGGAAATGATCGACCTACAGAGGACTGAATTCAAAGACACCCCGAAAATCAAAGTGAAGAAATGATGCAGCAGGCGAGTCCATATTGGTGAAATGTCATTGCAGCAACTCAGAATGGTCCTCAGTAGTCTGTGTGGCCCCCACGTGCTTGTATGCATGCCTGACAACGTCGGGGGAGGCTCCTAATGAGACCACGGATGGTGTCCTGGGGGATTTCCTCCCAGATCTGGACCAGGGTATCACTGAGCTCCTGGACAGTCTGAGGTGCAACCTGAGGGCGTCGGATGGACCGAAACATGACATCCCAGAGGGGTTCTATTGGGTTAAGGTCAGGCGAGCGTGGGGGCCATTCAATGGTATCAATTCCTTCATCCTCCAGGAACTGCCTGCATACTCTCCCCACATGAGGCCGGACATTGTCCTGCACCAGGAGGAACCCAGGACCCACTGCACCAGAAGGAACCCAGGACCCACTGCACCAGGAGGAACCCAGGACCCACTGCACCAGGAGGAACCCAGGACCCACCGCACCAGTGTAGGGTCTGACAATGGGTCCAAGGATTTCATCCCGATACCTAATGGCAGTCAGGGTGCCATTGTCTAGCCTGTAGAGGTCTGTGTGTCCCTCCATGGATATGCCTCCACTGACCATCATTGACCCACCATCATAATGGTCATACTGAACCATGTTACAGGCAGCAGAACGTTCTCCACGGCTTCTCCAGACCCTTTCATGTCTGTCACATGTGCTCAGGGTGAACCTGCTCTCATCTGTGAAAAGCACAGGGCGCCAGTGGTGGACCTGCCAATTCTGGGGTTCAATGGCAAATGCCAATCCAGCTCTATGGTGCCGGGCAGTGAGCACAGGGCCCACTAGAGGACGTTGGGCCCCTCAGGCCACCCTCATGAAGTCTGTTTCTGATTGTTTGGTCAGAGACATTCACACCAGTGGCCTGCTGGAGGTCATTTTGTAGGGCTCTGGCAGGGCTCATCCTGTTCCTCCTTCCACAAAGGAGCAGATACCGGTCCTGCTGATGGGTTAAGGACCTCCTATGGCCCTGTCCAGCTCTCCTAGAGGAACTGCCTGTCTCCTGGAATCTCCTCCATGCTCTTGAGACTGTGCTGGGAGTCACAGCAAACCTTCTGGCAATGGCATGTATTGATGTACCATCCTGGAGGAGTTGGACTGCCTGTGCAACCTCTGTAGGGTCCAGGTATGGCCTCATGCTACCAGTAGTGACACTGACCCTAGTCTAATGCAAAACGAGGGAAAAACAGTCAGAAAAGATGAGTAGGGAAAAAACTTTCAGCGGCCTCCACCTGTAAAACCATTCCTGTTTTGGGGGTCATCTCATTGTTGCCCATCTAGTGCACCTGTTGTTAATTTCATGAACACCAAAGCAGCTGAAACTGATGAACACCCCCCTCTGCTACTTACCTGACCAGATCCATATCCCAGGAGTGTCACTGACTTGATGCCAGACTCGGATTACAAAGTCTTCCTTCCATTTGTTTGAGCCGTGTATATTTGTGTGTGTACATATATATATATACACTATATTGGCCTCAGTATTGGTCGGCCGGCCTTTCCCCACACATGACCTTTTTAATGGCCCCCCAGTCTTAGTCCGTAGGGTTCAATATTGAGTTGGCCCCGCCCTTCCCACACACATGACCTGTAATGGCCCCCCCAGTCTTAGTCCGTAGGGTTCAGTATTGAGTTGGCCCCGCCCTTTGCAGCTATAACAGCTTCAACTCTTCTGGGAAGGCCGTCCACAAGGTTTAGGAGGGTGTCTATGGGAAGGTTGGACCATTCTTCCAGAAGCACATTTGTCAGGTCAGGCACTGATGTCGGGGGAGGAGGCCTGGCTCGCAGTCTCCGCTCTAATTCATCCCAAAGGTGTTCTATGGGGTTGAGGTCAGGACTCTGTGCAGGACAGTCAAGTTCCTCCACCCCAAACTGGCTCCTCCATGTCTTTATGGACCTTGCTTTGTGCACTGGTGGGCAGTCATGTTGGAACAGGAAGGGGCCATCCCCAAACTCTTCCCGCAAAGTATTGCACTCCTCAACACTGCACCCTGTGTGTATCACACTCCTGAACCCTGCACCCTGTGTGTATGGCACTCCCCTGTGTGAACCCTGCACCCTGTGTGTATGGCACTCCAGAACCCTGCACCCTGTGTGAATGGCACTCCTGTGTATGGCACTCCTGAACCCTGCACCCTGTGTGTATCACACTCCTGAACCCTGCACACCTGTGTTATGGCACTCCTGAACCCTGCACCCGTGTGTATGGCACTCCTGAACCTGCACCCTGTGTGTATGGCACTCCTGAACCCTGCACCCTGTGTGTATGGCACTCCTGAACCCTGCACCCTGTGTGTATGGCACTCCTGAACCCTGCACCCTGTGTGTATGGCACTCCTGAACCCTGCACCCTGTGTGTATGGCACTCCTGAACCCTGCACCCTGTGTGTATGGCACTCCTGAACCCTGCACCCTGTGTGTATGGCACTCCTGAACCCTGCACCCTGTGTGTATGGCACTCCTGAACCCTGCACCCTGTGTGTATGCACTCCTGAACCCTGCACCCTGTGTGTATGGCACTCCTGAACCCTGCACCCTGTGTGTATAGCACTCCTGAACCCTGCACCCTGTGTGTATGGCACTCCTGAACCCTGCACCCTGTGTGTATGGCACTCCTGAACCCTGCACCCTGTGTGTATGGCACTCCTGAACCCTGCACCCTGTGTGTATGGCACTCCTGAACCCTGCACCCTGTGTGTATGGCACTCCTGAACCCTGCACCCTGTGTGTATGGCACTGCTGAACCCTGCACCCTGTGTGTATGGCACTGCTGAACCCTGCACCCTGTGTGTATGGCACTGCTGAACCCTGCACCCTGTGTGTATGGCACTGCTGAACCCTGCACCCTGTGTGTGTGTATGGCACTCCTGAACCCTGCACCCTGTGTGTATGGCACTCCTGAACCCTGCACCCTGTGTGTATGGCACTCCTGAACCCTGCACCCTGTGTGTATGGCACTCCTGAACCCTGCACCCTGTGTGTATGGCACTCCTGAACCCTGCACCCTGTGTGTATGGGCACCCTCCTGTAACCCTCCTGAACCCTGCACCCTGTGTGTATGGCACTCCTGAACCCTGCACCCTGTGTGTATGGCACTCCTGAACCCTGCACCCTGTGTGTATGGCACTCCTGAACCCTGCACCCTGTGTGTATGGCACTCCTGAACCCTGCAATGGCACTCCTGAACCCTGCACCCTGTGTGTATAGCACTCCTGAACCCTGCACCCTGTGTGTATGGCACTCCTGAACCCTGCACCCTGTATGGCACTCCTGAACCCTGCACCCTGTGTGTATAGCACTCCTGAACCCTGCACCCTGTGTGTATAGCACTCCTGAACCCTGCACCCTGTGTGTATGGCACTCCTGAACCCTGCACCCTGTGTGTATGGCACTCCTGAACCCTGCACCCTGTGTGTATGGCACTCCTGAACCCTGCACCCTGTGTGTATGGCACTCCTGAACCCTGCAATGGCACTCCTGAACCCTGCACCCTGTGTGTATAGCACTCCTGAACCCTGCACCCTGTGTGTATGGCACTCCTGAACCCTGCAATGGCACTCCTGAACCCTGCACCCTGTGTGTATAGCACTCCTGAACCCTGCACCCTGTGTGTATAGCACTCCTGAACCCTGCACCCTGTGTGTATAGCACTCCTGAACCCTGCACCCTGTGTGTATGGCACTCCTGAACCCTGCACCCTGTGTGTATGGCACTCCTGAACCCTGCTACAATATGCGTTATGCACTCCTACACTGTATACACTTTAGTGTACATTTCATACTGCTGTCCACTGCACTGTGTACATGGCATACTCCTTACCACTGGACACTTAATGCTGTATTTTCCATTACATACCTATGAAGTGTTTGTTGTCATAACCGTTGCTGGTTGCTATGGAATCACTGCAGGGTCGGATCTAACCTGTCTGATTTGGGGGTGCAGTAATAATGTCGGGGGGGGGGGGGGGGGCAGAGATGCAAGGTCAGCAGGGCAGTGTATAAGAGCAGCGTACAGGGGGTCAGGAGTTTGTAGGGCAGTGTACAAGGGTCAGCATGGCAGAGGACAGAGATCAATGGACAGAAGACAGGGGTCAACAGGACAGAAGACAGGGGTCAGCAGGGCAGAGGACAGAGATCAACAGGACAGAAGACAGGGGTCAGCAGGGCAGAGGACAGGATCAACAGGACAGAAGACAGGGGTCAGCATGGCAGAGGACAGGGATCAACAGGACAGAAGACAGGGGTCAGCATGGCAGAGGACAGGGATCAACAGGACAGAAGACAGGGATCAGCATGGCAGAGGACAGGGATCAACAGGACAGAAGACAGGGATCAGCAGGGCAGAGGACGGGGGTCAGCAGGGCAGAGGACGGGGGTCAGTATACCTGAGATCAGTACCCCTCCACACAGTGTGTAGCCAGCTACTGCAGAGGCTGCCAATCCAAACAGGACGGGGGAATTTCACAATCAGAACTGCAACTGCAGCCAGCAGAGGACGGGGGTACACATTGTGTGGAGGGGTACTGATCTCCGCTATGTGTCATGTGACAGAGGAGGAGATCTGTGGAGTGCCTTGTGTGCAGTGCAGGCAGTGCCAGGACAAGGTCGCCTAGCATTCAAGGTGATGGTGACAAACTGTGCCCCCCCTGAAAAGCACTAATCAACACACTTACCCCCTAAGGAAATAAACACAGTTTAACACCCCCCCCCCCTCCAGTATAAATCTTTGCTTCCAATCCCACCTTCCAGCTCAAATACCCCCAATCCTGAACAAATCTTCCATGTCGCAAATATCGCCCCTATTTTTCCTTGACAAATCCCCCCTCCTAAAAGCACAAACCCTCTTATCCCCCCTCCTAGTACAAACCTCTCCCCCTAATCCCCCCTCCTAGTACAAACCCTCTCCCCCTCAAATACCCCCCTCCTAGTACAAACCCTCTCCCCCAAATCCCCCCTCCTAGTACAAACCCTCTCCCCCTAATCCCCCCTCCTAGTACAAACCCTCTCCCCCAAAATCCCCCCTCCTAGTACAAACCCTCTCCCCCAAATCCCCCCTCCTAGTACAAACCCTCTCCCCCAAATCCCCCTCATAGTACAAACCCTCTCCCCCAAATCCCCCCTCATAGTACAAACCCTCTCCCCCCAAATCCCCCCTCCTAGTACAAACCCTCTCCCCCAAATCCCCCCTCATAGTACAAACCCTCTCCCCCAAATCCCCCCTCATAGTACAAACCCTCTCCCCCAAATCCTCCCTCCTAGTACAAACCCTCTCCCCAAAATCCCCCCCTAGTACAAACCCTCTCCCCCAAATCCTCCCTCATAGTACAAACCCTCTCCCACAAATCCCCCCTCATAGAACAAACCCTCTCCCCCAAATCCCGACTCCTAGCGTAAATCATCTCCTCACATCCCCCTCCTAGCACAAATATTCCCTTGAGTACAAATCCCCCTCCCAACAAAAAAATATAATATCTTCTAGTACAATCCCCCCCCCCCCCCCCTACTAGTACAAATCCTCCCCCCCCAAACCCCCTAGTGCAAATCCCCCCAATCCCCCATCCTAGTACAAATCCCCCCCCCCCCCCTCATCCTCCCATCTAGTACAAATACCCCATTCTATTCTTTTCTATTCCATTCTGATTCTATTGTATTCTGTGTTATTTGATTCTAATCAGTTCTATTGTATTCTGTTTTATTACATTCTAACCTTCAGTTTATTTTATTCTATTCTATTCTGTTCTATTCTGTTCTTGTTGAAGTCAAATCCATTAAAAAGGATTGAAAAAAGAAATATCTGGCGTTATTTATGGAAGTTTCTTTTTCTCCCGATGTTGCAGTTTATGACGTCCTTCTCTGTCTATTGTTTTGTGTTTCAGGAGAGATTATCCCGGGGTGGGTCTGCTTCCTGCCGGTAATCTTTCTGCTCTGTAGAGTGTTCTACTGGATCTTCTTCTTCATCAACAAATCCAGAAAATTGAGTGAGTGTTGCTAAAGATCGCTGTCCTGACTGTGTGCTGTACGGTTGTGGCCAATAGGGGGCAATCCATACAGAGGAATTGGCATGTTTTGTGGTGTTTACTATATCGTGACCCGGGTCATTGATCGTGAGCTGCCCCGGCCGCGTGTCGGTGTACAAGGCGGCATCAAAACGTTTCGAGACTGGTTTTGTAACAGGCCAACAGATTGCAGCACGAGGCTGCACGCACAGTCACAGGGAGCACGACCTGTGCAAATCAGTGTGCCAAAAGACATGGTCCTGTGTACATCGGGAGCTGTGCCACTGGTGCTGTTCTGACCACGTGTGTCTGCTATTTCATCATGGACAGCATGTTAGAATGAAGAGCAAACGTGAAATTCTGCGTGAAACCGGGCAAATCGCTGGATCTCGCCAATGTTGTCACACGGCGACCTTTGAGCCGGATCTCCATCTTCGGGAAGAGGGCATTTTTGGGGGGTGGAGCTTGTTGAAGGTCTTCCTGATCTCTGGTCATCTTCCGGTGATGCTCTTCCGCTCTTGAAGCGTGCGTCCCGCTCCAAAAACACCTCAAACGACTCATCGCAGCGTCGCCGTAAACTCACCAGGTCATGTGCGGCAGATTTGCCCAATTTCACGCAGAATTTCTTGCTGCCCATGATGAAATAGCAGACGGGGTAACACACGTGGTCAGAAGGGCACCAGTGGCACAGCTCCCGATGTACACAGGACCATGTTTTTTGGCACACTGATTTGCACAGGTCGTGCTCCCTGTGACTGTGAGTGCAGCCTCGTGTTGCCATCTGTTGGCGTGTTACAAAACTAGTCTTGAAACGTTTTGATGCCGCCTCGTACACCGACACACGGCCAGGGCAGCTCACAATCAATGACCCCGGGTCACGACCATGTTTTTTGGCACTGACTTATGAAGGTGGGTGCTCCCGACTGTGCGTGCAGACCCATCTGTGGCGTGTTACAAAACTAGTCTTTTTTGCCGCCTCGTACACCGGCTCACGCTCAATGACCCCGGTCACGACCATGTTTTTTGGCACACTGACTTATGAAGGTGGGTGCTCCCTGTGACTGTGCGTGCAGCCTCGTGCTGCCATCTGTTGGCGTGTTACAAAACTAGTCTCGAAACGTTTTGATGCTGCCTCGAACACCGACTCGCGGCCAGGGCAGCTCACGATCAATGACCCCAGGTCACGACCGTGTTTTTTGGCACACTGACTTATGGAGGCGGGTGCTCCCTGTGACTGTGCGTGCAGCCTCGTGCTGCCATCTGTTGGTGTGGTACAAAACTAGACGATCTCCTTAATCTAAATTTTTCACCTTTTTGGGGAAGAACGCACATGTTTTTTTTTTTTTGGTACATTTTTTATTTAACCCCTTGGCGCCGGCGCTTCCCAGCCCTTTAACCACTTGCCGCCCAGCCACTGTAGATATACTGCGGCAGGGCGGCACTCGCAGGCAAAACCACATTTTAAAACGTGTGTTTTGTAAACAGATAGGGGGCGCGCGCGAGGCGCGCCGCCGCCCTATCTGTCCCGCCGATCACCGCCGCAGATGTGAGTCGTCGGGTCACAGCCGCTCCTTAGCGGCTATTTCCCGGCGATCGGCGGCAAACTGTGACAGAGAGCATAGCTGCAGTAGCTGTGCTGTCTGTCACTTCCCTGTCAGCTCGAGGATGAGCTGATCGAGAAAGAACAGTTTCTCTTTCTCGATCAGCCTTGTCCCGCCCAGTACACACCCCGCCCCCTAGTAAAACACTCCCCTCACTCAGATAACCCTTCCCTGCTAAATAAAGTTAACCCCTTCCTCCCCAGTGCCATTAGTACAGTGTCAGTTTTTTTTTTTTTTTTGCACTGATCACTGTATTAGTGTTTTTGGGGATGTCAGTGACCCCAAGTCAGTACCCCCCAATGTCAGAATGTCCGCCGCAGTCCCACCATAAGTCCCTGATCGCCGCCATAAGTCGCTGGTCGCCGCCATTATTAGTATTAAAAAAAAACCCCTAAAAATCCCAGTATCTTTCCCGCCATTTGTAAACGCTATAACTTTCACGTAAACCAATTAATTTACACATATTGGGATTTTTGTAGCAAAGACATGTCGCAGAATGCATTTTGGCAGAAATTTATGACTAAATTTGATTTTTGGATTTTTTTTTTTTACTGGAGATGTTTTATAGCAAAAGGTCCAAAATATTGTTTTTTTTCCTCAAAATTGTCAGCCTTTTTTTTATAGCGCAAAAAATAAAAGCGCACAGACGACTAAATACCCCCAAAAGAAAGCTCAATTTGTGGGGAAAAAAGGACATAAATTTCGTTTGGGTACAGCATTGCATGACCGCGCAATTATCAGTTGAATTAGTGCAGCGCTAAGTAGCAAAAAGAGGCGTGGTCATTAAGGGGGGTAAATCCTCTGGAGGGGGTCAAGTGGTTGAGTTTCAAAAGCTGGAAGGCGGGGCGGGGTTTAGGGTCATGTGACCGCCATGATTCACCATCACGGCGGTCACATGATTGGAAAAGGTCCCGGTCGAAAGGGGAGATCGGGACCTTTCCGTGAGTTACGGACATATGTGCTGGGAGCGCGCAGGGCGCACATGTATTTTCTAATGGCGCGCAAATACGCCGCCACTCGGCATCAAGGCCCAGACGTTGAGAGGCCTCCTATTTGCGGCCGCTCGGCAACAAGGGGTTAAAACAATAAAAAAAGGGAAACAAATGCAAGACAGGAAATTGTCTAGTTTTGTAACACGCCAGCAGATGGCAGCACAAGGCTGCACGCACGGTCACAGGGAGCACCCGCCTTTATAAGTCAGTGTACATCGGGAGCCTCGTACAGGCAGGCAGTTACTGAATGGCAGGAAGGATGAACTACAGCTAAATATCGGATCTCTGCAAAAGAAGACGTAACTAAACTCACCTCTCCGGTGGCCCATGACCTCCATCCATGCGGCAGCCTCGGTCGGCACTTCCTGGAGTGTCGGATTCCTGTGTCCCCTTCCATGCCACAGTCCCATCCCCCACCCCCTACAACACAGCTGGACCCTGTAAGGGGCCGGAGGACAAAATCCAAAAGGGACTCAATCATCCAACAATCCCAGAAGTGACAGATAAGTGCCGGCCGTTCCTTTTCGAATGAAAATTTGAACAAAATGTATGTCATTCACAGATTCAAATGTATCCGAATTTCAACGAATCCCAAAAAAAAAAAAATTATGAAACAAATGATCTGAATTTAAATAAAAAAATGAATTAGCATTTGAAAATAAATTAGAATTAAAAAAAAAAAAAGGAATTTGAAATGGAAACATTTTGCAATAAACACAATGAGGAATAAAAGTACAATAAGGTAATGATTCCTACTTAGACTGCTTTTTAGAATGGAATAGACTAGAATAGAATGGAAAACGATAGAACAGAGCAGAATAAAATAAAGCAGAATAGAACAGAATACACTGGAAATTAAAAAATACAATAGAACAGGATAGAATAAGGTAACACAGAATAGAAAAGTAGATAAAGGAATAGAATAGAACAGAATAAAGCAGACTAGAATAGAATAGAAAATAAAGGAACAGAACAGAATAAAACAGAATAGAAAATAAAGGAACAGAATAGAGTAAAATAAACTAGAATAGAAAAAAAAATAATAGAATAGAATAAAGCATAGTAGAATAGAACATAAAGGAATAAAACAGAATAGACTATAACAAAGCATTAAAAAATACAATAGAACAGGATAGAATAAGGTAACAGAGAATAGAAAAGTAAATAAAGGAATAGAATAGAATAAAGCAGACTAGAATAGAATATAAAATAAAGGAACAGAATAGAATAGACTAGAATAGAGTAAAATAAACTATAATAGAAAAAAAGCAGAATAGAAAAAATAATAGAATAGAATAAAGCATAGTAGAATAGAACATAAAGAAAGAGAACAAAACAAAACAAAACAGAATAGAAAAATAGAATAGAAAAGAATAGAATCGAATAAAGGTGAATAGAATAGAAAATAATATAGAATAGAATAAAACAGTAGAATAGACTAGAATAGAATATAAAACAGAATACAATATAATAAAGCAGAGCAGAATAGAAAATAAAGGAAGAGAACAGATTAAACAGAACAGAATAGAACAGAAAATACAAGAATAGAATCGAATAAAGGTGAATACAATAGAAACTAAAGGAATAAAACAGAACAGGATAGACTAAAAATAGAATAGTATAAAAAAGAATAGAATAGAAAGGAATAGTCTTTTTTTGGAGTTTTTTTATAATGTATGTTCTAGTTGTGTCCATGGCAATGATGGAAGTCACGTGGAAATCATCCGTCCAATCCCAATTCATGAGATCGTTGTCTTTGTTTATCGATCGTTCCTCAGATATAAGAGCCCCTCATGTTGTGGAAGTCGCCATGACCGTCTCCAATCTGATTGTGGTTCCTGCGTTCTGCATGGCAGTCCTGGTGATCCTCTTCGTACGCTGTGAGTAGACGGGGAGTATCGTGGCTCTTTGTTCGGTTTTCTCTCTGTTGGGGGGTTGGGCACATCCGCAGGCTGACCACATCTGTCTTCTCCACCCACGTGGCTGAAGGACCGGCCCCAACCTGCCTGCCGGATGTTCGCTGGATGCCGGCCAATGGCGGTACCTTGTTGTGGACGGACACAATACAGAGGACGGCTCTTTGCCCCGCCCATGTGTGGCCTCTGTTGGCCAATGTGGCTCGGGGTCGTCAGCCGCCAGTATTTAGGCTGATTACAGACGGTCCATAAATATCTGCTACAGACAGCGGCAGCTCAGACCATGGCTGGTGTGTGGACTGCGCATGCACAGATCCGAAGCCAAGAGAGCTTGGGCGGGGCTTTGGCGGGGGGCGGGCATCATGGCACCACTTGGTACCTTTAATGAATTACAGCAGGACTGGAGAGGGAGCCCCCCCTTACAGAGTTCCCCTTTACATCAGAGTCTTCAGGATTCCCCCTTACAGTACAAGGGCAATTCTGCAGACCCTGATGTACGGGGGAACTCTGATGTACGGGGGAACTCTGCAGACTCTGATGTACGGGGGAACTCTGCAGACTCTGATGTAAGGGGGGACTCTGCAGACTGATGTAGGGGGGAACTCTGCAGACTCTGATGTAAAGGGGAACTCTGCAGACTCTGCTGTAAAGGGCAGTGCTGCGGACCCTGATGTAAAGGGCAACTCTGCGGACTCTGGTGTACAGGGGAACTCTGCAGACTCTGCTGTAAAGGGAAATTCTGCAGACTCTGCTGTAAAGGGAAATTCTGCAGACTTTGCTGTAAAGGGCAATTCTGTGGACCCTGATGTAAAGGGGAACTCTGCAGACTCTGATGTATGGGGGAACTCTGCACACTCTGATTTGCTGGCTGACAAGTGCAGGTTGTTATGCTTTGTGTCATTAAGTTCGATGAGTGACCGATCGCTCGGCACGTCTGATGGTTACATTGTACACGTATGTGGTGTTCTCATGTCATCCGTGTCTTACAGATCGCTCTGCTTGTGGGACGATGGACATATCGCTGGTTGTTCTATTCCATGTCTGTGCTCTGATCTTCATCTTCTACTTATGTAAGTGAATATTTATCGGTGAATAAACATTGATTCTAATAAACTCTATTCTGTTCTGTTTTGTTCAAGTCTAATTCTGTTCTATTCTGATTTATTCTATTCTATTCCATTTGATTCTATTCTGTTTTATTTGATTCTAATTAATTCTATTGTATTCTGTTATATTCTGCTCTATTCTATTCTTTTGTATTCTATTCTATTAAGTTTTTGTTTTACTCTTCGGAAGTGTTTCAGATTCACGTTAAATGAGGTTTGAGTAGAGCTCTGCATGACAGCAACATTTGTTTTGTTTTGCTTCGGATTCGTCCCTTAAGTAAAAAATTTGGTTTCATCATATTCGTTATGTTGGAATGATTCGTTTTTCAGAATTTGTCTCACACTTGGATTCGATAGTTATTTTCCAATCCTTTTGAAATCCGTTCAAATTACTAAAAAAAGGCTATATTCAGTCTATTTTATTCTAATTTATTCTGTTTTATTCTATTGTAACTATTGTCTTGTTCTATTCTGTTCTATTCTAATTTATTATATTTAATCTAATCTATTCTGTTTTGTTTTATTCTATTCTGTTTTATTCAATTATAATAAATTCTATTCTGTTTTATTCTATTGTAATGTATTCTGTTTTATTCTTTTCTGTTTTATGCTATTCTAATCTATTCTGTTTTGTTTTATTCTAATCTATTCTGTTTTGTTTTATTCTAATCTATTTTGTTTTATTCTAATCTATTCTGTTTTATTCTATTCTAATCTTTTCTGTTTAATTTTATTCTGTTCTGTTCTATTCCATTCTGTTTTCTTTGATTCTAAAAAAAATTCTATTGTATTCTATTTTGTTTTATTCTAATCTATTCTGTTTTGTTTTATTCTAGTCTATTCTGTTTTTGTTTTATTCTATTCTGTTTTAATCTAATTTTATTCTGTTTTGTTTTATTCTATTGTGTTTTATTGTAATCTATTCTGTTTTTTTTTATTCTATTTTATTCTATTCTAATATATTCTGTTTTGTTTTATTCTATTTAAATAAATTCTATTCTGTTTTTATTCTGTTCTATTCCATTCTGTTTTATTTGATTCTAAAAAAAATTGTATTCTGTTTTATTTTATTTTATTCTATTCTATTATATTATAATATATTCTGTTCTAATACATATTTTTTGTGTTCAATTTTTTTCTATTCTATTTTATTCTGTTTTACTTATAAAAATTGCAACGCACTTCAGCAAAAACGCTTCAGTAGGCAGGAAAAGTTCATGCTTTTTTTTTGCGATGGAGCAGCGTGAGAGCAGCCTAAGTAGGAATCATCGTCTCATGTCACTTTTATACCTGGCTGGATTTATTGCCGTAAATTTCCATTTCAAATTTGAATTAATTTTCAAATTCAAATTCATCTTCAGATCTGAATTTGGATCATTTGTCGTTACGTTATTTTGTGTCGTTAGGATTTATTTCTAATTCATTGAAATTCGTTAATCTGGTGATTCGGAGATTCGGATACATCTACATTTCTGATCGACCAAAATTTCATCTTGAATTTCGTAAGAAAGCAAATTGGACACGCCCCGGTGTGGGGACACGCCCCGGTGTGAGGACACGCCCCGGTGTGGGGACACGCCCCGGTGTGAGGACACGCCCCGGTGTGAGTGACAGGGATCACATCTATTCTGTGCAAGTCACAATGCTGCGGAGCGCCCTCTGCTGCATTGTAAACAGACGACTGTGGGCTCAGAGGGCTCAGAGGGTTCTATGGACTCAGAGGGCTCCGTGGGCTCAGAGGGCTCCGTGGGCTCAGAGGGCTCCGTGGGCTCACAGGGTTCCGTGGGCTCAGAGGGCTCCGTGGGCTCAGAGGGCTCCGTGGGCTCAGAGGGCTCCGGGGGGGCTCAGATGGGGGTTCCATATGAGCTCCATAACACAGCCTGCATTTTATGAATGGGCTGAAAGATGCAATAATGTTGCAAAGTATAAAGGAGAACTGACAGCGATACATTGTAACATGACAACATGGGGGACATTTCAGGGGGGAGGGGAATACATTGTAACATGACAACATGGGGGACATTTCAGGGGGGGGGGAATACATTGTAACATGACAACATGGGGGACATTTCAGGGGGGAGGGGAATACATTGTAACATGACAACATGGGGGACATTTCAGGGGGGAGGGGGAATACATTGTAACATGACAACATGGGGGACATTTCAGGGGGGGATACATTGTAAACATGACAACAATGGGGGACATTTCAGGGGGGGGGGGGATACATTGTAACATGACAACATGGGGGACATTTCAGGGGGGGATACATTGTAACATGACAACAATGGGGGACATTTCAGGGGGGGGGGAATACATTGTAACATGACAACATGGGGGACATTTCAGGGGGGAGGGGAATACATTTTAACATGACAACATGGGGGACATTTCAGGGGGGGATACATTGTAACATGACAACATGGGGGACATTTCAGGGGGGATACATTGGGGGGGGGGGGGATACATTGTAACATGACAACATGGGGGACATTTCAGGGGGGAGGGGGAATACATTGTAACATGACAACATGGGGGACATTTCAGGGGGGGGGGGAATACATTGTAACATGACAACAGGGGGGAGGGGGACATTTCAGGGGGGGGACATTTCAGGGGGATACATACATGACAACATGGGGGACATTTCAGGGGGGGGGATTGTAACATGGGGGAATACAATGTAACATTGACAACATGGGGGACATTTCAGGGGGGGAGGGGGAATACATTGTAACATGACAACATGGGGGACATTTCGGGGGGGGGGGGGGAATACATTGTAACATGACAACATGGGGGACATTTCAGGGGGGGGGGGGGGGAATACATTGTAACATTGTAACATGACAACATGGGGGACATTTCAGGGGGGAGGGGGAATACATTGTAACATGACAACATGGGGGACATTTCGGGGGGGGGGGGGGGGGGAATACATTGTAACATGACAACATGGGGGACATTTCAGGGGGGAGGGGAATACATTGTAACATGACAACATGGGGGACATTTCAGGGGGGAGGGGAATACATTGTAACATGACAACATGGGGGGAACATTTCTAGGGGGGAGGGGAATACATTGTAACATGACAACATGGGGGACATTTCTAGGGGGAGGGGAATACATTGTAACATGACAACATGGGGGACATTTACATTGTAACATGACAACATGGGGAGGGGAGGGGAACATTGTAACATGACAACATGGGGGACATTTCATGAGGGAGGAAGACTTTTTCAAGGCACTTTATAACTTCCCTTCTGATTGATCTAGACTTGAATCTGATCAGATTTGGTCCAATGGAGTTGATCGGCCGGGGAGGAGAATTATCAATAGTTTCACATAGGTTGTCAGCACTGGGATACTTTGTTCATGAATGTGATCATATGTCCATGTATGGAGATAGAGAGAGAACATTGGATCATAACTTATGGTTGTATCTTAGGTATCGATCAAAATCCATCTCCCCAGGTGTGGCATATTGATCAAAAAAGCTGTCGACTATAGAGCAATTTTTTTTTTCCTGTCGGGAGATTGTTAGAAAAAAATGATTATTTATCAAAGCCGTATGGGCCACCATAAGTTGGCTTGATGCAAGTAAAATCATTTTTAATAAGTTGTTTCTGCCTACAGGGATGAAATCAAAAGTCAAAGGAAAACTGTACATCCCAGGGCAACAAGGTCAACCAGAATCTCAACAGCTAGTAAACATGCCTAACGGTGATAAAGGACCATCAGGAAGCAACGGTGACCATTGGAAGCCCAGAGGACAACGGTGTCATTCGAAGCCCAGAGGACAACGGTGTCATTCGAAGCCCAGAGGACAACGGTGTCATTCGAAGCCCAGAGGACAACGGTGTCATTCGAAGCCCAGAGGACAACGGTAACATTGGAAGCCCAAAGGACATCAGGAACCCTAATTGTGAAGGACCTGTTCCTCCTGGCATCGTAGAGAATCCAAACCTTGATCAAGAAGCCCCGGTGCAAAGTGAGGTCTTCGCGGAGGAACACTCAGAAGACCAAATGATCCCTGACCCAGAGAAAGGTCAACCTAAAGTGCCCAAAGAGGTCCCATGTAACAGTCATGTGACTGACCTGACTATTGACATGGAGGTAGAGGTGGACAAGGGACCAGTAGCGAATGGTTAATGAAGATCGAGAGGTTTTTTTTTTTTCAGGTCTGCTAAATGGAAGAATTCTGAACCTTCCCTAGGAAATATATCGACTCTGCAGCCGTGCAGAGACACCAGGACAAGATGAACCTGGTGAGGAAGAGTAGAGACCAGGAAGAGGAAATTCTGTATGTGTAATGAATTGATGTCCATGTTCCTTCATCCTGGTTTACGTATGAACCCGTACCTATGTACAGATACCACGGCTGTCATGGTGATGGAAGGCGCACTGCCATTCCACATTTTTCTGGCATTTACAGTAACGGTTCTTTGTACGGCATGTTTCGGCATTGCCATCCAGTTGCTGTGACAAGTTTACGGTCCGATATCACCAAAAAAAATTGTATTCTATTAAGTGGACATGGTAAATACATGTAGTATCCAATATATGAATTGTTTTTTATTTATATATATTTACAAATTTATATGCAGGTCAAGCTGACCAAAAAAAAGATATATATATATATATATATATTCAGGGGTTCCAGGGGCAAACCATGACATTGCCAGGGGGAGCTGGTATTCATGTCTATTCTAGGTCTTCCTTTGACCACTTCCTGCTTCATGTCAAAGAAGAAATCCGGGCAAAATGACTATTTCCCCATGTAGTGGGGCTGTGCAGCAATGCATGGGTTAAATGCCAGTTTTTAAGTGCCCGGTAGGCAGGAAGTGGGGGTAGAAGTGCCCTGTAGGCAGGAAGGGGGTAGAAGTGCCCTGTAGGCAGGAAGGGGGTAGAAGTGCCCTGTAGGCAGGAAGGGGGTAGAAGTGCCCTGTAGGCAGGAAGGGGGGGGTAAAAGTAAAAAGTGCCCTGTGGGCAGGAAGGGGGTAGAAGTGTGGGCAGAAGGTAGAAGTGCCCTGTGGGCAGGAAGGGGGTAGAAGTGCCCGGTAGGCAGGAAGGGGGTAGAAGTGCCCTGTAGGCAGGAAGGGGGTAGAAGTGTCCGGGGGGCAGGAAGGGAGTAGAAGTGCCCTGTAGGCAGGAAGGAGGTAGAAGTGCCCGGTGGGCAGGAAGGGGGGTAGAAGTGTCCTGTAGGCAGGAAGGGGGTAGAAGTGCCCGAAGTGGGCAGGAAGGGGGTAGAAGTGTCCTGTAGGCAGGAAGGGGGTAGAAGTGTCCTGTAGGCAGGAAGGGGGTAGAAGTGTCCTGTAGGCAGGAAGGGGGTAGAAGTGCCCCGGTAGGCAGGAAGGGGGGGTAGAAGTGTAGAAGTGCCCGGTAGGCAGGAAGGGGGTAGAAGTGTCCTGTAGGAAGGGGGTAGAAGTGCCCGGTGGGCAGGAAGGGGGGTAGAAGTGCCCGGGAGGTGAGGGGTTAAACCTGATTGGGACAGGCATAAATCTATAATCAGAAAATAAAAGTAATAAAAATTAAAGGGGCGTTTTTTATATATTACAAAATTGTATGAAAAATATTTTTAAAAATATATATTTTTTAAATATATTCTTCAGAATTTTTTTTAACATATACAAAAAAGTCATTTTTTACGTATATTTGTTGCATTTCCAAAAATGTAGAATTGTATTTTTAAAGACATACAGTATATTTGAAATGTATTGTTCATAAAATGTTTCATATATTTTGTGATAAAAACACATTTCAACATGCAGTATACATATATATATATATATTTCATACGGTCAAAATTGTAGCATTTCAAATATATGTCAATATATTTGGGAAGAGTATTTTTAAAATATATTTCAAATATATTTTTCTTCCATGGGGGAATAAACCGGGAAATCTGTACCATTTGTGAGGTTCATACAATTCCATCTTCCTGTTTGCTCTATGAACTCGAGGAGTCCATTTCAGTTGTCTTCTCTAATGAAGTCAGGAACATGTATTGTGGGACAGGGATCCCTCTCTAGGTTCTCTGTAAGATATTTTATTTACTACTGTAGACCTCTCATTTTATTCCACCTTATTTAAATGAGAACTCCTGTCAGGTTGTAGACCATCAATACTCGTATCAGAATGTGGACGGTTCTTTTCTTGCCCAGCTGTGACAAAGTTACAGTAGAACTTCAGTGAAGGTTTCATTTTAGTTTTGGAGACTGGAATGGAATGGTTAAAGCCTGTGTTATGAGAAAGAGAATAATGATGATATGCTTTAATAAACATGAAATGACTTTAGTGCTTATATGCTAATGTCAGGTTCTTTATATACAGTAACAGCAGGTTAGAATGGCTTTGCAGAAAAATGTTGTTGGAATTCTTGGAGTGTCTTGTTGTGAGGGATTTGGAGGTCTGAAGGTCAGTCAAGTTAATGTGGTATTCCAAGAGAACAGAAATGAATGTCTCTTAATGATGTGTTGTGAATTCTTCCATTAATAATTTATTATATAAAATGTTCAGGGTTGGTACGGTCCTACGTGGTGATTGCCCAGGATTGAAGCTTAAGTCCTCCTTTATCATCAAGAGGTCAGGACCTTGGCACTTTTGCTGTGTCTGAGGATCCCCACACATGTTAAAGACCACCATGACACATTTTATAAATTCACCCACAAGCACAAAATGAAAGATGTACATGTATTGAAATTTTACATTGAAGCCTGCAGACACATTCCAACCAGGATCAGTGGATCGTGGGGCAATGTACGGGCTCCGGTATTATTACCCCAGCCTGAGGACCTTCTAGAAATAGGAACCTTCTGTTATCTGGATCTGGAGGAAGTACGATGGACCACCAGTACGGTGATGGCACCACACTTGTGCCGCCTTTGTCTGTTCACCCCTGGTAGCCTACATTGAAGCCTACAGAGCATTCCAACCAGGATCAGTGGATCGTGGGGCAATGTACGGGCTCCGGTATTATTTACCCCAGCCTGAGGACCTTCTAGAAATAGGAACCTTCTGTTATCTGGATCTGGAGGAAGTACGATGGACCACCAGTATGGTGATGGCACCACACTTGTGCCACCTTCATCTGTTCACCCCTGGTAGCCTACATTGAAGCCTACAGAGCATTCCAACCAGGATCAGTGGATCGTGGGGCAATGTACGGGCTCCGGTATTATTTACCCCAGCCTGAGGACCTTCTAGAAATAGGAACCTTCTGTATCTGGATCTGGAGGAAGTACGATGGACCACCAGTACGGTGATGGCACCACACTTGTGCCGCCTTTGTCTGTTCACCCCTGGTAGCCTACATTGAAGCCTACAGAGCATTCCAACCAGGATCAGTGGATCGTGGGGCAATATACGGGCTCCGGTATTATTTACCCCAGCCTGAGGACCTTCTAGAAATAGGAACCTTCTGTGATCTGGAGGAAGTACAGTGGACCACCAGTACGGTGATGGCACCACACTTGTGCCGCCTTCGTCTGTTCAACCCTTGTAGTTTTCCCATCCATTGTGATCCTCACTGTCCTGAGCAGTTAAAAAAAATAGACTTAGGTCTTCATCTGGAGTTCTCATTTAAATATATAATGGGGGGTAATTTTTTAATATGTGACCTGGAAAAAAAAACAAAACATCCTACCATTCGCTGAGAAGAATGAAAGACGGTGAGAGTGTGTGTTGTGAACTGTAACATTCTGTAGACATTGTGATGGGTGAGGATCTGTGATATCAGAAAGGTTTGTATGGAAGAAGAGGTTCTGAGTGTGTCCAGGAGAGGTCTGCCCACCCGATGTGCTTACCCCCCCCCCCCCCCCCATCTCCTGGAGGGTTGTGTGTCCCAATACTCCCTGTTGGGTTAAATGCTATGTAGGAGCAGCACAGAGTGTTTCAGGAGTTCTTATTGTCCAGCAGGGGGCGTCCTCTCCATCTATGATTGTGGAAACACATGGTGGTACTCTCGGGGGGCTTTGTGGTCATAAGTGAGCCACTGAATATGACACCACCCTGGCCTGTGAGAGTGCCATACACCTAATCATGTGGAGGTATCTGATGGATCCAGACACCCTGTGATAACAATGTATCTTTGTATCTTTATCTTGATATACAATATATTCAACTTATAGTCAATTGTATCTTTATGTGAAACAAATACAGGGGCGGACTGACCATTTGGAAACTCGGGCACTGCCTGAGGGCCGGGGTCAGTAGGGGGCCCCATGAGATGCCCCTGGTACCTTTTTCATAGGCTTTTTTGAGCAAGGACACAGGGGCCCCATGATCCCCTATTGCCTGGGGGCCCCATGAGTTGTCAGTCCGCCCCTGAACAAATATCAACATATTTAATGTTCTTAGATGTTGTATCTGGATTCAGTGATGATGAGAACTGTATTGATTTTGATAATTATCCTTGATCACCTCTAATTATATACATGATCATATGTTACTGACGGATGCAGCGCAGTCTGTAGGACGGATGTATTGTTACTCTGATACAAAATCTGTTACAATAAAAATTCTTCGTTTCTAACCACACAGTGTGTGTTGTGATATTATATCAGAATTCTATCCAGTAGATTTAACCACTTGACCTCCAGAAGGTTTTACCCCTTGATGACCAGGGCATGTTTGATATTCAGCACTGCGCTACTTTAACTGGTGATTGTGCGGTCGTGCAGCACTGTACCCAAATTTAAACGGATATAATTTTTTTCATACATATAGAGATTTTGAATATAAAGAATTCAAATAAAGAAGAAATTAATTTGAAATGAAGACTTTCGGAAAACACCTGTAATACGCCTTCAGTCTTGCTCCTCTCTCTCTCCACGTGGTGGGTGTAGTGAGCGGTTTTTAGGCAGGCCTATGGGTGTGAATTTTGGCGTGCTGATGGCTGTGCCCATGCCCCTTCCCTTGACTGTTTGGCACCAGCCAGTCTGCCAGGAAGGAATCTTCCCACGTTAGCGGTAACCCCTGGTTTTCCAGGCAGAAGCAAACTGAGTGTATTTACCACAAGGCAGGGGCGGACTGACCATTTGTAAACTCGGGCACTGCCCGAGGGCCCGGTGTCAGTAAGGGGCCCCATGAGATGCCCCCGGTACCTTTTTCATAGGCTTTTTTGAGTTTGAGCAAAGACACAGGGGCCCCAT